ATTAATAAACTTTTAGATCGAAAAAATAAAGTGAGAAGACAGAAATCATCAATATCAAGAATGATCCTATGAACATTAAAAGGATATTGTTAGGGACTGAATGTTTGTGTTCCTTCAAAATTCATATGTTTAAACCCTAACCCTCAATGTGATGATATTATTTGGAGATGTTGCCTATGGGATGGGGACCTCATGATGGGATTCATGTCCTTGTAAGTAGAGATACCAGAGAGCTTGCTTTTCTCACCATCCGCACCATGTGAGGAGGATACGTTGACAAGGTGGTTATCTAAGCCAGGAAAAGAGTTTTCACTTGAAAGCAAAATCACCTTGATTTTGGACTTTAGCCTCCAGAACTGTGAAAAGGTAAATTTTTAATGTTTATGAACAATTTGACAATTTAGATGAAGTGCACACATTTTTGAAAAATACAAATGACTGAAAGTGGTGCAAAAAGAATAGAAAATCTAAATAGCCCTATACCTGCTTTAAAAATCAAATTGATAATTAAAAAGTCCAGGTCCAGTGGCTTTATTTGTGAATTCTGTCAAACGTTTAAGGAAGAAATAATACTAAGGCTACACAAACTCTTTTAGAAGTACACAATGCCACACAAATTCTTTCAGAATATAAAAGAGAACATTTTGCAGTTCAGTTTTTGAGGTTAGTGTTACCCTGATGCAGGAAGAAAAAACATTACAGAGTAATATCACTCATGAATATAGACACAAATATTCAGCAAGATATTACATCAACTATATAGAAGAGAGGAGAGATCATATATCATGACCAAGTAGGGCTTATTCCAAGAATACAAAGTGGTTTAACTTGAAAATTCGTCTGTGTAATATACTGTATTAACAAAATGAGAGAAAAACCTTATGATCATCTTAACATATCTGGTGAAGGCATTGAGAAAATTCAGTTCCCATTCATGATAAACAAAACCTGGAGCCAAATAGGAGGGAACTTTTTTCAACCTGATATAGGTATGAAACTACAACAAACATTGTACTTGGTGTGGTATAAGACAGTGCTTTCCCTTTGAAATCGGGAACAATGCAAGGATGTGCAATCTCATTATTTCTTTTCAACTTTGTACAAGAAGTCCTAGCCAGTTCAATAAAGGTAGAATAAAAAATAGAAGGCATACAGACTGGAAAGTAAGAAATAAAACTGTATATGTAGAAAATTCTAAAAATTTAGCAAGGTTGCAGGATACAAAGTCAACATACCCAAAACAGTTGTGTTTCTGTATACTATCAATGATTAATTAGAACATAAAAATTTTTAAGTGTTATTTATCAGTCCATTAAAAATTATGTAGGGATACATACATCAGAATATGTGCATGACCATTACACTGAAAAACATACAACACTGCTGAGAGAAATCAAAGAAGTCCTAAATAAATTCAGAGAGATATCACAATATGTACGTTTTGGATGACTCAAAATTATTAAAATGTGAATTTTTCCCAGATAAGTACCTGATTTCAAGAATTGCTGTAAAAATACAGTAATCAAGACAGTGTGGTAATGGCACACTATATGGCTTAATTAGAAGCTGGGGGTTTGGAAGGAGGACTGACTACAAAGGTGCACTAGGAAACTTGTGGGCATGATGGAATTGTCCTATATCTTGGATTTTGTGGTCATACAGGTATATGCATTTGTCAGAAGTTGTCCAACTCTGCATTTAAAATGTGGGTAGATTTTATTATATGTAAAGTATATCCTAATAAAGTTGAATTTTTAAAAAGATCTGTATTGGGGCCGGCCGAGTGGCTCAGTTGGTTAAGGGCTCGCTCAAGAGTGTGAGCTCTGAGCAACAGGGTCCCCGGTTTGATTCACGGCCCGAGCTGAGCTGCCGCTGAGCTGCCAACAGGTAGAAGGATGGCTCAGCTAAAACAAAACAAAACAAAACAAAAAACAAAACAAAACAAACAAAAGATCTGTATTTCTAGGATAGTTTTCCTGATAGATTCCTCCAGTGTTGACATGGGAATATATGAATTTTTTAAAAGCCTCTTCTACTTATCTCTTTGGAACATGACTAACATGTAGTAGGCATTGGGTAGTTTTCAATTTATTCAATAAAATACAGGATTTATACAAGCTAAGCATGTTGAATGCTTATGTCTGTAATAAAATTTTTAAAAAGTCTGTAGTATATGTATCCTTTTATACAGAGAATAATTTTTCAAAGTTATGTGATCAATGAATTAGAATTTCCTTGTTTCCTGGTGACTTTTATTAAATTTTGGCCATATGATTGCTTGGTATGTATTTTCTACTTTCAGATTATTCTGTTTATCAAATCTTTAGATAGAACCTTTTCTGGGGTCATCTGGATGAATAGTTCTTAGATTTTTAGATTTCATAAAATAATAAAATTTTCAATTAATTTTGCATCAAGAGAAAAAAGTCACTGTCGCCTACAGTCTTTATTTTAACAACAAAAAAGTAGAAGAAAACATTTTTAGGTAAAACAATTAAGAAAACCTATACATACATTCTTGATCACTATGTACTAGACATTACACCTAACATTTAAATACGTTATCTAATTTAGTTTTCAAAATAGCCCTGTTATACTCATTTTACAGAAGACTCTGAGGCTCAAGTTATGTCAGGTTTAACTTGCCTAGAACAGGATGTCTGATTTCATAACCCATGTGCATAACACAGCTTAGGCATTTCTATAATGCAGAACAATTAACCTAAATGGTGATTTATAAATGCATATTTTTTTATAAAAATTTGTCACCATAGGTCTTTATTCAATAGTGCAACACAAGCTCAAATATCTTGTATAAGTATTCATTTTTTCTCACACATAGCTTTACAGAGATTATGAAGACCCCTGTTAAAGAAACAATCTTAATGTTCTTTTATTCATTTGGAATAGCCTGGGTAAACAGATAAAAGCCTCGTGCTTTTAGGATTTTTTTCCAGTCTTAAACACCTTGTTCTGGTTAAGAAAGCATAAGGTGGTGGTATTTTTGTCTAGACCTTACTCCGAGGGTGCAAAAAGGCACTCCATACTTGGCTTTCAGTCCTATCCAGGTCGTGATGTTTGATCATCTGATTCAGTGACAGTGTTATTGTAATCCACATAAATCTGCACATACTTTGAAACTTTATAATGTCAGTGTCAAGTTGCTTCCTTTTTTTCTAGGAGTGGTAAGACACTGAGATTTTTGTGGTAAAAAAATTACCTTCAAACTTTAGTTTCAGTAATGCTTTTTTCACTTGCTGACTATGTACAGAAAGTTTAATCTCTGAACCTCTGTCTTTTCATCTGTTAAAATTAATAAGATTTAACGGTATGTTTTTATGTGTCAACTCAAATGGGGCGGTGTAAATGAAAACTAGAAACAAGTGGACATTTTAGGTAGTAGGAAGCCTGTGAGGGTTTTTAGAGTAGGATAAATGACATGATACACTATTTTAGTTAGGTTGATGATGATGTTGGATGAGTCGAGGTTGAGGGGAGTGAGACTAGAGGAAGGGAGAGAAGAAGGGGACAAGATAAGTGAGGTTGGTGACATTGGGAGTGGAGATGAAAAATGTAATCAATCATTTTAGATGGGGAAAAAAATCAATATTTCATGGTGATTGATGAAAAGGAGAAAAAGGAATCTCTTCTCTTGCCTCCCAGATTAATTCCCAATAAATATTTGACTGCCTGTTATTTTCTGCAATCTGGCCTAAGCATTTGCTATACAGGTCCAGAGCTGTAAGGACTTCTGGGAATTGATAGTCTTGTGGGTTCAGGTAGGATGCTGGCTGCATTCAGGAACATAGAAATTTGGGAGAAAGTGCTGGTTGGGTATTAAGTCAACCTATTCACTTGTAAGCAAGTTGAGTTCCATGTCACAGATATGAGTATTAAATATTGCTATATGATTTTTAGGTGGTCATCATGAAATTTTATTTAGGATCACAGACATCTGATTGTACAGTTACATTAGTGTTTGGAAAAATGGTAATTTTAGATATTTGGAGAAATTATGTTTGCCTCCTAATGGTGCTAAGTATGGTATTAGTAAAAAGAGAAACACTTAAGAAACATTCGGCTTTCAGATAATTTGCATTTAGTTTTACATGGTGCTATTTCTGGGGGAAAAACATATCTGAATCCGATGTACATAAATTTGAATATTTGTTACAGGCTTCTCAGTTCTAGTTATTGTCAGTGTTCAAACAATCAGATTTAAATATAATTTAGCTGGAACCGGGATAGTAATGGATTTCTTTATTTTACAACAGTGGTTCTCAGACTTCAGGTTGCACCAGAATCACCTGGAGGACTTGTTAAAACACAGGTTGTTGGGTCCCACCCTAGTTTCTGATTCAGTAGATCTGGGGTGGGGCTGAAATTTGCATTTCCAACAAGGTGATCATGCTTACGTTAGGAACTTCTGTTATATAATCAGGAATAAGGTTACTCTGGGAAACCAAAGTTTTAGCGTCTAAAAAATAACTTTAAAAAACAGATTAGTAAAAAAATATATAACCCCTAAGAAATAAACTTAATTTTCATAAACATACAGCTCAAATCCAAACCCCTTTAGGATGTTTAAATTATAAAGTTTAGTTTCTATTATAGTCTTCCCTAAAAGTTATTGTTCTTATTTATTTAACAATAGAACAAATTAGAAAAATATATTTAAAAATACATTGAAGACATTATAAATGTTCTCTATTTACAAGAAATTGTTGACTATTTAGAGGTATTTGTTACCTCTAAATATGTAATTAATTTACCCAGTACTTTCCTTGAAGTTAAATATCAGACTTAAATTTTTAAAACATTTAATAACTTGTAGTGAAATTGTTTTCCAGTTTCCTTCTCTCCTCTCCCTCCATCAATCCCATAATTCCCTAATTTTCAAAACCTGTAATTCTTGGAGAATCAAATGTGACAATATGGTTAATGTAGTATGTCAACCCAAATTAGTTTCAGTAATTTTTTTAAAATTTTGTATTTTTTAGCTAATGGGAATGACAACAAGAAATTTAAAGGAGATAGACCTCCCTGTTCACCTTCCCGTGTTCTCCATCTTCGCAAAATTCCAAGTGATGTCACCGAAGCAGAGGTCATATCATTAGGTCTACCATTTGGCAAAGTAACTAATCTTTTGATGTTGAAAGGAAAAAGCCAGGTATGTAATATTTAAAGATTCACCCATAGTGATTATCTCTGGGTATTAGTGTTAAAGATAATTTTTATTTTCTTGAACTTTTCCATATTTTCTAAATTTCATTCTATTTACATGAAGTAGTTTTTAAATTAGAATTTTTTTGTATGAGAGGAAGCAACAAACAAAAATATTAACACAGGAAACAGGATTATCTCTTATTAATTGACTCGTCTTTTTCCTCCTTAAAAAAATACACTTTACAGTCTAAATTACAAAATGGTTTATGAAACTATCCTGTAATATATCAGAAGACCCTGACAGAGAGAATATAAATTGTACCTCATTTGGCAAATTAAAGGACATTTCAGTTTTCCAAAATCTTGAAGTGTTTAATATATTTTATTTGTAGAATTACTATGTAGCTTCTTTAATAATTTGAAAGAGACTATAAGAGCTTCTTCATTTCAGAAGTTAATCGATTTTTCTTAAGATGAATAAGGAAACTTGATTTTGTGGTGATCATGACAAAAATATACTTGTCATGTTGATTTGAATAATCACGTGCTTTCTTGTTCCAACTCAGACCCCGCTGGGATGCATTTTTTAGTTCTTTCCTAGTTTTTGGTTGTCCTGAAAATCTTTTATACTGAGCATTGCTGAAAAGATGATGACAACAAATCTAGGCCCTAGACATTGTGTAGTAAATTGTGATAAGTCCCTATCTTTCTTACACTTTTCATAAATTTAAGAAACATTATAAATATATTTATAAATAAATTGTTTGATTAGCATTAGACTTGCTAGAGATTGGATGATGATGTCTGTTTCAGACCCCTATCTTTAGTAAACTAACATCCCTGTTTAATTCAGATGAGATTAATAAGAGCTATAGAAATTAAATAACATATCTTAGTATTCAACCCTTGTTGTGTTTACACATTTATCTTACATCTTTTGGGGCTAGTGCATGTACTTAGATCTGTATTTTAACACATTGCTACTATTCAGAGTAGTATGGTTTGTATGGTTTGTAAAGAACCAACATGGCCATGTCTAATGGTTGTGAGATACCTGGCAGCCATGTATCATCTGTATTACCATGTTTCAGTAGTATATGCAGCGTCATAGTTTCTTTGTTTCTACTATTGGTTCTGGGCTCATATTTGTCACTAGTGCTAACTGACTTAGGTTAATTGCTTGTCTTTTGGTCATAAATTCTGTTTGAAAAATATCTTGTTAGTAATATACTTTAGCAAGACGTTCTGCCATGAGTCACTAGAACTGCTTTCAGGAGTAATCTTCCCCGTGGTACTTGGAGGTGGAGTGTTGAGGACACAGTGAGGATTATTTTCAACAGCCTTTCTGTGGAGGGTGACCTTTGATTTTCTTTCCACCCACATTATGAAAATTGATCCTTTTGACTAGATAGTTCAGAAAAACATGAATCTTTTACCAGATAACGTGGAAAAGCTATTTTTGTATATGAATTTTTAGGTTGTATATACTTTTAGGAAAAACTTCCTATGACAAGAATCATATAGTGTTTCAGAGACATTGTTTAGATTTTCCTTTGTATGACTGATGTTAAACACTGAGTTAGTTTTTAACATGTAGTAAGGAATTTGCAGAAAGATAACCTCTCCCCATATAGTGATTATTTGAATACAGTTTACAAATTTTTTGTTGAAAAGATGATTAAAAACAAGATAGGAACTATTGCTATAGCTATTTTTATCTTGATCATGTTTACCCTTTCTTAGAAAAATTAGAAAAAGTGTATTACTATTACAATTAAATAGTGGATTTAAAGTGCATCATGGACATTTATATCTTTTAAATAGTATAAATGACTCGAAGTCTGTTTTATTCCTTAAAGATAGTGAAATTTTATTTGTTTATTATGGATCAATTAATTAATGGAATTTGATCAGCTGTCATCTGGCTAACAGTACTACTTTATAGAATATAATTAGTTCATTTAATTGATTCAGTTAAGCATCTTATTTAACATTTGTCAAGTTAATAATTTTCCTTTGCCTGGAATATTTGCCAACTGGAAACACTTGCCAAGTAAGATAACAATAAACTAAGAAAGAGTTTGATTTGTAGATACTTGCCATTTCCTGTGTTCAATAAATGTTGTTAAATACATATTTTATAAATAAATTGTAAATGTTTTATACATAATTTGAATTGGTTACTATATGCTTGCTAATTAAATGCTCTATTGTAGTAAAAAAAGATACATTAATATAAGATGCTCTCCCATTTCCCTACTTTGAAAAATTGAACCTCTGACCTTGAATGCTCTATATAATTATATTCATAAAGTTATTTTATAAAAAGATGAAGAACAAATCGTTTTGTCCCATCTCTGTTTGAGAATTTTTTAGGAAAGAGCTATTAAATCCCAGTACCTGAAAGCATCCATTTATAGTGGCGATGCACACATTTATTTTTGCCTTTTTAATTATTTCTAGGTTTAGGAGAAACATAAATAAAAGAAAAACCACATAAAATCATTTCATCAACTGGCAATTTCCCAACCCCAAATCCTTTATTGAACCCAACTTTTCAAATATGTTTCCAGTTGTTATCAATGATATATTATCAATGATAAATCTTTTCATCCCCTTGGGGGCAATATTATTTCTGTTGAGAATGCATGGGTTTAGAGCAAGCTAGAATGACAAAATAGTTCTTAGCTGTCTTTCAAAAATAGGAGCTTTCACTTTACCTTCTTGTGTTTATTTCAGGCTTTCTTAGAAATGGCTTCTGAGGAAGCTGCTGTTACTATGGTGAATTATTACACTCCTTTTACTCCTCACCTTCGAAGCCAGCCTATTTTTATTCAGTATTCCAATCACAGAGAACTTAAGACTGACAATCTGCCTAATCAAGCTGTAAGTATTAAAGGCATTTGTAAAAATAGTTATAAGAACACATAATATAATAACTTAGAATTAACTTTCTGTTTTTCAGAGGAAAATAATCGTGTTTTTCTTCATCTTAGGATGCTTTAGTAAAGATCATGTATGTAAATTCTTACCTGAAGACTTAAATATAAGAAAGTAGAGCCATTTAGAAACATGTTTGAAATTTGAAGTAATGGTGTTAAAAGTGGTAGATATTTAGTTTTCCCTTGAAACTGTTTTCATGAGAAAAAAATAACATCGTTATATATATTAAAATCTCAGGTCTAAAAGGAACTTTTGAAGTCAATTCTTTCTTTTTACAGAATAACAAAGGCATTAAGAAATTGAGTGATGTTAAGTAACTGAACTTGAGATGTTAATAAGAATTTGTATAGATATGTTCTAAGTGATTTATGACTCTTCAAGGTAAATGTGGAATGTAGAATATCAACGTCTTACCTCATTTTCAAGTTTTTATTTTGATAATAGTTCATGTTAATCTTTTGTGCCTCTCCAGGCACAGAGTAGTTTTAAGTAGTTAAAATAGTAATTTGAACTTACTTAAGGGTAGGAAAATGTTATTCATAAAACAAGTACATTTTAAGAAAGGTTTTTTTATGTTAAAATGTTTGGTCACTCTACTTTTGCTCTAGGCAAAAGCACTCAAGCTCTGATTCTGTGTTGAAAGTTACTTATAATGCAACCTGCTGAATTTAAATTATAGTTTCCTACATTTCTAAAAACAGTGATATTTCCTGTGTATAATCCTTTACTTGTTCTAAGAAATACTAATGTCATCTAATAAACTATATAAACTTAAGAATAAATGAAATATTAGATATTTTTAAATAGTATAGATTTTTTAAAATGAAAAGTTGCCTTGTAAATTAAAAATAGAATACATGCTCATGGTAAAACATTCAAACAATCTATAAAGTAACAAAACAAAAAAAACAATCCAGTTACCCAAAGATAACTAATTAACATTTTGGTGTGTGCCCCTTATCTATTCAGGTGTATTATTGTCTATGTATAATTTTATACCCGTGGAACTCTATAATGTTTTGAAAGCTATTATTTTTTACTATATCATAGACATTGTTTCCTGAGAACAAATATAGAATTATTTGATAATTTCTAAATGACTGCCCAATACTCCTTTCTGTAGGACAGCTGTAATTACCCAGTTTCTTGATAATAGACATTGAGATTATTTCCAGTTTTATGCTTTTACAAATAGTACTGTAGTAACATTCTTATATATCTTAGCATACTTGCAACATTATCTTATTAGTTCACATTCCTGGCAGTGATATTGCTGGGACTAAGCATATGCATATTTCATATTTTGTTACATATTGCATGATTGCTTTCTGTAAAGATTATGTGCCCACTTAGAGTGCCACTGATAATGTATGAGTAAACCGTTTTTCTGTCTTTGTTAATACAATAGTTAAGTTGTATTGTATTGTTTACTTAACTTTTATTCAATAACTTGTAAAGCATTTATAGTGATTTCTGTTAATGCAGGTTTTCCCCCATTTTTTTCAATTGTGGTGAAATATAATAACATAAAATTTACCATTTTAACCTTTTTTTTTTTTAAGATTTTATTGGGGAGTTAGGGGAGGGGAACAGCGTTGGGAAATCGGGAAAGGGGAACAGACAAGTTGTTGTCCTTTTGTTCTTCAGTCTAGTTTGGAGGACGTCGCTTCACTGGCCCATGTTGGTATTATTGTGCTCTCCCGGGTGAGGCAGTTGCTTGCCGGGCATTGGACGACCGCTCACTGCGGCTCACAGCAGCTCACGCCTGCTGCCGCATACGCTGTCACCGGCAACTCCCAGCAGCTCAGCTCCAGGTCGAGCTGTTGTTCATCATCTTAGCTGTAGAGGGCACAGCGTCACTGGCCCTCATGTGGGATCCGAACCGGAGCCCTGCTGCTCAGAGCTGGTGTCCCAAGCTAACTCAACTCCTAACCAATGCGCCACTCAGCCGGCCCCATTTTAACCATTTTTAAGAGTACATTTCAGTGGCATTCAGTACATTCACATTGCGCAACCCATCACCATCATCCATCTCCAGAACTTTTGTATCTTCCCAAACTGAAAAGTTCTGTACCCATTAAACAACTACCTACTCCCTCTTCCCCCAGCTCCTTGCAGCTGCCATTTGACTTTTTATATAACATTCAAATCTCTCAAGATAGTATTATAGTTTCTGGTTTTGGTACCATACTAATAAAGACTTAGCTTAGTAAGATTTAGAAATTTTATTTTTTACCTATCTTCTACTTTTGTTTTAGTTCTTATTTTAATGTGTAACTGTTTGTTTTATTAGGAATATTTTGGGAGTGGGGTTTTGGCCATTTTTTTTACTCCCAGTGACCAGTTTCTGCTTTGTTATTTTTTTGGTAACCCATTTATTATTCACTCATGGGAAACATGTCCTTTATCATGTTCTAGTTTTCCGTACACATGCTGTGCCTACTCACAACATGCATATGTACATTTGTTAGCCATGCCTATACATTTGCTTGCATGGCCCTGATCTACCCTTGTGTGAGCTGCTCGGGTATGTACTCTATGTCTGATTGTCTAATTTGAACTACCTTTTGCATTCTTTCCTTTTCCATTCCTGTTTCAATGTCCCTATGGCTTAATATATTATATGGCAAAGCCCCATTCTTTACTCTTTCTTTTCTGAAATAAACTGGTTAATATGTTTTGTTTATTTCTTCAGATATATTATAATTCTTTTGATAACTTTTACCCAAAAATAAAAAATTGAAATTGAGTTGATTTTATGGATTAATTTGAAGATAATTAGCATATTTATATTGCTCTCTGATCCTTTTGAGAAGGAAGTTATGTTTTGTTTCGTATCATTCAGTAAAGCTTTTAATTTTCCTTTATGTAAGTCATGCAGTTTTCTCATTAGTATGATTCCTATGTTAGTATAAGTCTTAAAGAAGAAATAAACAATTTAATAAAACTCTTAAAGACTGGTTTATTCTAAAGGGGAACAGTGAAAAATCCCAGTTGCTTGGCAACCAAAGCCAGCCCAAATGACCTAGTTTATTCTTCGATAGCCTTGATTTCTTCCCAGTACCCTTTCTATTTATTTTTGTGCCATTTTTATGCATTGATGTTGCATAAAATATATTTTTTTCTTTTATTAAAAGTTCTACACCAAAGCTGAATTCAAAATTGAAGGTACCTGTTTGCATGTATAAAATGTACCAGGTGTCTTTTATTCTGACAGCCCTGGGAAGCTGATAAATTACTGTTTCATTTTTCTTTTGTTGTCTGAATAGCAGGATATCCCAAAACATGCACATAAGTTATTTTCCAGCTTATGGACATACTTGCCAGAGGGTTAGGTGAATGTGAACTATTTTTGTCCTTTGACTTAAACTAAAATTATAGTTCAAATTTTACATCATATTTTGAGGTACAGCATTTGAGAAATTGTTGTGTTAGTAGCAGTCATTACTGTACAGACAGTTTTTCTTGACCTTGTGGGTGGAAGTTTATAAACATGCAAAGAGATGACCATGGAAGGATTTTTTTCTGAAATAATTTTTCTAAAAAATTCATCAAACTGAACCCTTAAGATCTGTGCATTTTATTGTATAATCATTTTCATCTCAATTTTAAAAATGTCTTCTTTGCATTAATCAGGTATGTTTAAATTTTACATGAAGTATATTTTCTTCCCCCACCTTAATAAAATATTTGGGTTTCTTTTATTATACTTCTATTTCTTTTATTAATAGGTAGTATAACCATTCCAGAGAGTTTGCTAGTGAAACATTTAAAAATTATCTCCCATAATAGGAATTCTGCGTCATAATTTTTAGCATCCAACTCACAGGACATATGTCTTCTGTGTATTTGAAATATCTCTTCATATTAAGAAGACATTTCTCAGTTTTCTTTTCCAACTTTGTTCTCCATGGAGAGTACATCTCAATTTTGTTTTTTTACTTAAATGTTTTTGCCTAATTAAAAATTGAAACTATAGGGCCGGCCGAGTGGTGCGTTGGTTAAGAGCTGGCTTGGGACACCAGCTCTGAATAGCACGGCCCCGGTTCGGATCCCACATGAGGGCCAGTGACACTGCCCTCTACAGCTAAGATGGTGAACAACAGCTCTACTTGGAGCTGGGCTGCCATGAGTCGCTGGCGATGGCGTAGGCTGTAGCCCCTCTGGCAGTGGGTTGCCATAAGCTACTGTGAGTGGCTGGCAGCCAACGTGAGCTGCCAGGAGCCGCCATGAGCAGCCATCCAGAGGCTGGCGACCGATCTTCCTCACCTGGGAAGCGCACAATGATAATACCAACATGGGCCAGTGAAACATCATCCTCCACAACTAGACTGAAGAACAAAAGGAAAGCAACTTATCTGTTCCCCTTCCCCGATTCCCCAACGCTGTTCCCCTCCCCCAATTCCCCAATAAAATCTTAAAAAAAAAATTGAAACTATAGTTACTTATAAAATAAAGCCATCTTTTCCAGTTGTTATTTTCTCCAATTTTTATCAGAAGTATTACTTGCATGCCTGCTGCTCAGAGACCTTTGGACTCAGTGCTCTATGAGATACTAGTACTTAGTACATTGAAAACTCTAGAATGATTAAGACATTATATACCAGGGCTTCTCATATTTCTCCACTATGGTATCCCTTATGCCAAAGAGGAAGGAGTGAAGAGGAAGAACTACAGTAATACTAGCAGCACCAAGCATATATATAGGATTGCTTAATATAAAGGATCGATAGAATTATTAGAGGGATAATGAGGTAAAGTCAGTGAGGTTACATTTACTTTTAGTTGTGCATGCTTAATTTGATTAGATTTAATCATCCTTCTCTAAAAGGAACAGGAACCATTATTCCACTTAGAATCTCACTATGTATGATAGTGTCTTTTCCTAGACATTTTAAAGTTGTGATGTCTAGTATGGTAGCAGCTCGCTACATGTGGCTAAATTTAAGTAAATTTAAAAATAAATTTAGTTCCTCAGTTGCATTAGGCCCATTTCAAGTGCTCGCTAGCCCCATGTGGTTAGTGGCTGTCATATTGGACAGTAGATAAAAAAACATTTCCATCATCACAGGAAATTTGGTTGGACAAGCACGGTTTTTTATTTTCTATGTCTCTACTTACATGTGTGTGTGATGTGATAGTTATAATAACTGATGTTCATGTCTGCTAATTCTAACCCCTGTGTCAGTTCTGGGTCTTTTTTGATTGATTGACACCACCACTCCCACCCTCACCTAATTATAGACTGAAAGTGGTAAAAATCTGAATCAGTTTTCAAACTTGAAAGTCGAACCCTTTTTTCCCATAATGTCTTACTGAGGAACCCAGTGTCAATAGATGAGATAAACTGCCATGTTTGAAGCGGGGTTATTGTGCTCAGTATTTCACATCTTTGGCTTTCTAAGAGCATAGTTTTGAAAACCAACAATATAAAATATTCAAATTATTATTCATATATCCTCAAAGATGATGATGCTTTGGAAACTAAATGTTTGGCAGTTTGTGTATTACCTGATACATAAAAATCTGTATATGGCATACAGTTGCTGTTAAAATGTATAAATAAAGGGGGATGGATGAAAAATATGAAGGGGAATATAGTCGATAATATTGTGATAACTTTGTATGGTGACAGATGATTACTAGAATTAGTGGGGTGATCACATTGTAAGGTATAAAAAGTGTAATCACTATATTGTACACCTAAAATTATTATAACTAATATAATATTGTATACCAACTATATGTAAATAAATTTAAAAATCAGAAGACTGCTCTCGAAAAGAAAAGGGTCGTACAGTCATATGCCACTTAACGACATGGAGATGTTCTGAGAAATATGTCGTTAGGCAGCTTCATTATTGTGTATATATATCATAGGGTGTACTTAACACACCACCTAGCATAACCTACCACACACCTAGGCTCTATGGTAGAGCCTGTTGCTTCTAGGCTTCAAGCATGTTACTGTACTGAATACTGTAGATAATTGTAACAGCAGTAAGTATTTGTGCATCTAAACATATCTAAACATAGAAAAGGTACAGTAAAAATACTGTATAAAAGATAAAAAATGGTACACCTGTATAGGGGGCACTTAAGAATGAAGTTCGCAGGACTGGAAGGTGCTCTGGGTGAGTCAGTGAGTGAGTGGTGAATGAATGTGAAGGACATTACTATATGCTACTGTAGACTTTATAAATACGGTACACTTAGGCTATACTAAATTTATATGAGATTAAATAAAGCACAAGAGAAAATGAGGCTATAATGGCAGCGTAACATGCCATATTGTTTTACAGCAAACTTTCTTTTCATAAGTAGAAAGAGTACACTAAAATCAATAAAAGGCATAGTATAGTAAATAAATAAACCAGTAACACAGTCGTTTATTATCATTATCAAGTATTATGTACTAAATATAATTGCATGTGTATACTTGTATACAATGGCAGCCCAGTAGGTTTGTTTACACAGGCATCACCACAGACATGTAACACGTTGCGCTACAATATTACGATGTTTTAGCTGTCACTGGGCGACAGGAATTTTTCAGCTTCATTTTGATCTAGTGTGACCACCATCTTAGGTGCAATCCTATGTTGACCTAACATTGCTATGCGGTGCATGACTGTATAGAAGTATAAAAGTGAAAGTTGTTCAATTATTAAGTTTACAGAAAGTAAAAGATGCCATTTTTCAGAAAGATACTTATTTTAATGTTATTGATCATAGCAAAATGTTAGATAAATGCTTATTTCATGTTTGAGTGATGGTACAATAAAGTAAAAAATTAAAATCATGAAAACAAACCAAGAAATATTAATTTAAAACAACTTAAAAAGTACTGTGACCTTTAAAATTGTAAGTGAACACAATATGTGAAAATGAAAGTAGCTATATTAAAGTGGAGTGTTTTATTTTGTGGCACAAACATTTTGCTAATTATCACCATTCTTAAGCAATGATAAGTATTGTAAAAAACATTGATGAAAACTTGAATTTAGTTTCAGTAATCATTAACCATGCTTTTTTCTCTTCAATTTTCCCTCCTTCGCCTGCTTCATGTTATAAATAATTGTTTTAAAATCTGAGACAATCACAGAATGAGAAAAGGGTGCAGATAAAATACAAAGAACTTTTGATTTCTTGAGGCATTTGGGGAATAAATTGCTAACCTGGTCTGTCTTCATTGTGTAATACTTTCAGTGTGTATGTATTTCCTACAAACAGGGACATTTTCCTACAGAACCAAAATACAGGGGTCAAATCAGGAAATTAACATTGATACATTACTTCCCTCCAATCCTCAGTCCACATTCAAGTTTACCACTTGTCCCAATAATGTTTGTTAGAGAAAAACAAACATTATTCCAAATCACATGTTCTGTTTAGAAGTCACACCTTAGTTTGCTTTAATCGAAACAGTTCCTCAGTTTTTCTTGGACTGTCATGACCTTGACATTTTTGAAAATTACAGGCATTTTATCTTGTAGGATTTCCTTCAGTTTGAGTTTGTCTGATGTTTCCTTGTGATTAGATTCAGTGTATATATCTTTGACAGGAACATCACAGAAGTTGTGTTCGGTTTTTTCTGATTGCCTCCTGTCAGGAATTTCAATTTGTTGCATTAGTGATGATGCACTCTTTGATCACTTGATTAGCCTAGTGTTTGCCTGGCTTCTCCACTGTAAAGTTAAGACTTACAAACGGGGGAAGAAGAATATTTGGGGCAGATACTTTAAGACAATGTAAATAAACTGTTTCCTTGTCAGCTGTCAATTTTTTATCAGCATGGACTAAAGATTTTCTATTTTATTTGATGAGTTATTGTTTTTTACAATTATTATTATTTTGATTTTCAAATTGTCCTATATTTGGCCTGTGGGAGCCCCTTCAGGTTGTTTTCTATGTCCCTTTGGCATCTTCCTATTATTCTTTGAACACTTATTTGCATTCTGGTAAAATAACAGCAAAAACTCGTAAAAACAAAAGGTTATACCCTCATCTTGTGCTTTTCTTGCTCCAGATCTGTAGCTAGCCATTTTTAGCACCCTGGTTTCTTTCAGTGGAACATGATATTTAGAAACTTGTCTACCATCCCATGCCAGGCTCTCCCTTCTTTGAATTACCTCCTTACCCCATTCAGGCCCTCATAAACCTCTTGTTCACTATACTCAGGCTGTCTTCACCACTTTGGCTCTCTACCCCAAGTGGACCCCTTCCTGACTCTCTTTGGGCTCTGACTCTCCTGGCCAGGATCTTCTTTGGATGCCTTTCTTACCCTCTCATTCTCAGGTTCTGACATCCAGCAGTGAGCAACCCCCACATATACTTTCCTCCCCTCGTTTGGGCTTAGGTTCCTCTTGTCAGGCAGCCCTGCCATGTGGATGCTCTCCTCATGTTGCTTAGGCTGATTCTCCATGCCAGGATGCCTTCCTATAGAGATGCCCTTCGTATTCCACCCTGAACCTCCACAGTTCCTCTCCATGTTTACATCTCGTATGGCACCCAAACGCTTCAGAATTCAATTGTTCAAGGTGGGAAAAAGAAGAGAGTCTTGAATAGCTTTTAAGTGGTCTTTAACGTTACCTTCACATTGTTTTTTTTCCTATTGGCATTTAAAATTATGAATAAAAATATCCAGATTTTCTTTTTTTGCCATGTATTTTTTTCATTTCTTGAAATAAACTTAAGCAACTTTCTTAAATATTGTGTCAGTGTGATAAGAAAGCAAGTCTTTTTGGCTCTTGACGGATTATAAATTTAGGATATGTGCATTCAGAGAGAGTAGATATGTATGTTTTTATTTATATTACTTCCTATTCTTTTACATTAACTAATTTTTAGGATTCATATAATGTAACCCAGAGTTCTCATTTTGCATTGTTATATAGAGAGCCCAAGCTGCCCTGCAGGCTGTCAGCGCTGTCCAGTCGGGAAGTCTGGCCCTTCCTGGAGCCCCTACCAATGAAGGCACAATCCTCCCGGGGCAGAGCCCTGTGCTCCGAATCATTATTGAAAATCTCTTTTACCCCGTTACTCTGGAAGTTCTTCATCAGGTAAGGAGGAGCCCTCTTAGGAAAGCAGAGTCAAATGTGACCTCTGTAACTTTAGATGTTTTTATATCTTTAGTATTTCAGGTGGTCAGTTTTGGTTGGTATATTTGTTTAAATAATAAAAAACCTTCAGCAACCTGGTTCATGCAAGAAGTAGTACCAATCAGAGATCATTTTTGACAGCTCCCTTTTTCTAATTTAAATACTTGATTTTAAAAAGTATGTCAGACCTTCTTTTTTATACGTGTATACCTAAGCAGGAAGATGAATAAAGCATAGAACCCTGTTAAAAGCACTGGTAGTAGTTATTCCTGAGCAAGTGACATCAATAGAGAAAACAACTAATTTATTCCTATTGACTCCTTACATATGAGTATTTTTATTTTAAAAACTCTGAAAGGAAGGTATACAATAACTCTTTTTATGTAACACGGATGTATTGTGTTAGTGACTGATACCTAGTGCAACTTTCATAGACTACCCGTTAATATGTCTAAACTGTCTTGATAAAAGGCAGTCTACCAAATCATGGCCTACTGTGAACATATAGAATTTAAAGACTGAAAGGTCACCTAGTTTTACCGTTCTTTTTTTTTTTTAATTAAAGTTTATTGGGGTGACAATTGTTAATAAAGTTACATAGGTTTCAGGTGTACAATTCTATAATACTAGTTTTATAATTTTATAGTGAATAAAACTGCAACTCGGATAATTGATTCAGTGAACATTACAGAGTAATGAAAGAGCCAGTTAGAACTCAAGCCTTCTAATGCGAAGCCCAGTGTTTTGTTTTGTATACTTGTTATAATTTTAACTAATACTGCATATATACATACTCTCAAAATGTAACATACAGTTATTTGATAATCTGTATACAGAAATATTTGGCATCTAGCCCAAAAACTTCAGTTAGTTTTTATTCTATTTAGCTACATATTGATTCCATTTCATTATGCTTGTCAATACATATATTAAAATATTAAAATACTAAGATATTACTTATTTTCATATTTATATCTCAATGTATATATTGCCAGCATAATACAAGGCCAGTCCAAAATTATTTAACTGTTTTCCTAATCTTTGTGTTTGTACTACTAAATGGAGAGTTATATGGGTGTGTGTGTGTGTGCATGTGTATTTAAGAATTAAAATGCATCTTATCCTAGTACCACATTTTACAAATAAGGAAACTGGGGCCCTTGGAAATTAAGTTACAGTTACAGTCATTGTACCAACTGGTGATATAGCTGGGATACATTTCCCAATACAGGTTCTGTGCCATGCATATAAATATCAAAATACATATACCATTTATTAGTTCTACTGTGTTCCCTACGATAGTTTTGTAAGTACCATTTTCTAAATATGCATTGGTGAGCATTTCCTAGGGAGGGCTGTAACAGTGGTATTCATAGTCACTGTTGTTCCCTAAAAGGTTTCAGGAATTGCTTGAGTGATTGGGTTCTTTGTTCTGGTGGATTTTCTTCTCTTCTGTTTTTTCCATAAAGTGGAATTGAATCCTCTGTGATCCATCAGCAGTGTGTGTGTGTGTGTGTGTGTGTGTGTGTGTGTGTGTGTGTGTGTGTGTGTTAGTCTGTTTGTTTGTGCTACTGTAACATTGTAGGTACTGCTAACTTACAGTTTTACAAAAGATATTCTTGCTCCTGTGGCTCAACATTGCCCTCAGTGGCAGAGAGTTTGGCCAGTGTCATGTGGTGCTGATCTGTCATTCCATTTATCTCCCTAAGAGCAGTAACAAACTTGCCTGTCTCCCAAAAGATTATGGGGTCCTTCTGCTGAAGAGTAATTCTCAGACTCAGTAGTAAGTAACCACCAGGGTTGGACTCAGCCTTTTAAGCATAGCACACCCTTATTTAATGCTCCTTCCCATTCCTGTTGGAATCAGTCCAAACTCCTTACTGAGGCCCTTAAGGTCCCCCACATTCAGACCGCTCCCCATTTCTTTAACCTCATTTCATAACACTTCCTCTGCTTATTTAGCAGTCTGACTTTCGTGACTTTCGCTTTGACCCTTTCCCCCTTTTCTCCAGCTTATTCCGTTTCTATTTTCTATTTCGTAGACTCAGAACACACTTTGCTGAGATAATTTAGCTGAATTCTGTTGTACATCATTCAGTTTTCAATTTTATCATTTACCTCCTCAGAGAGTCTTTCACTAATTACATTAATTAATCCCTCTTCCCCTGGCTCTGTATCCCATTAACCAACTAAAGTATAGTGTAGCATAAGGATTAAGGATACAGGGTCTGGAGCTGCTTTGAATCCTGGCTTTACCACTTACTACCTCTACAGCCCTGAGCAAGTAACTTACCCCATCTGTGTCTTTCACTTGTTTACATAATGAAGATGGTCTCTATTTTATACCTTCATTGTGAGGATTACACGAGTTAATGCATTTAAAGCACTTAGAACAGTGCCTGCTACATATTAAGTGCTCAGGAAATTTTAGTAATTATCAGATGCTAGTAAATTGCACTGTAAGAAACTGATCCTTGCTTTTGTAGTCTTGTGGGTAAGATACAATTTCATAAGTAATAGCATAAAATGCAGTGAATATTGAGATGGGGAAATACATGGAAGTGTGGAGTTGCCTAGCACCTTTTATAATTAATTAGAGGATTCTTTTATATTCTTAGCTGAAGAGTTGGCATTAACTAAACTGCTCTCTAACATCTGTAGGAGCTAGTGTTTTTCCCTTAGCTCATGGTAAGGGGTTGAGAGTGACTGAGATGGAAGTGATACTATTTCAGATTAGGGGAGCTGTTTCCAATATGATGGCATTTGAGCAGAGGCTTGAAGGATGTTAAGGTATAAGTAATGTGTGTAAGTGATAGAATAATAATCCAGTCAGAACAGCAAGTGCGAAGTCCTTAAAATGGAGGTGTCCTTCATGTATTCAAATATCAGCAATAAGGCTATGTCATTGGAGGGTAAAAAGTAGGAAAGCCATGAATGATAGGGTCTGAGAAGGCATTAGGAGCCAGATGATATAAAGCCTTTATAATCTTTACACTGAGTAAAATGGGAAGCCATTAGAAGATTTTCAGAAGAGGGGTGAGATGGTAGATTTATGTTTTAACGGAATCGCTCTTGGTGCTGTGTTAAAAGTAAACTGTAGGCACAAGCAGAGGCTTTTGTCATAGCCCATATGAGAGATGGTGGTGACTCGGGTGAGGACATTGGAAGTGGTGATTATGGATATACTGTATTTGGACGGATTTGCTGATGAGTTGAATAGATGTGGATTCTGAGGAGAAAGAGAGTAACCAAGAATGTATTCCAGATTTTGGCTGTGAGCCTCTGGTAAAATAGAGCAATCTTACATGAAACTAGTAAAGACAGAGGGGGGAAAAAGATTTGGGGGCAGGGGTGGGATTTAGGGCAGGAATCAACAGTGTGTTTTGGACATGTTATGTTTCATACACCTATTAGACATTTCAGTAGGAGATGTTGAATAGACAATTAGGAAGTAAGTCTGGATTGGCTATAAGAATTCTAGACTGGAGATTTGGTAATCGTCAATTTTTGGGTGTGGTTTAATGCCATTGGATTGGATGGTGCCGCCACTGAGAGAGCAGAGAGCGTTTGTAGACAAAGAAGGCACTCATTGACTGATCATTATGTAAATTCAATCCTGCATGTTAAAAAATTTCTTTGCATACTGAAGGAGTAGTTCAAAACAGTATTCTCATGTAATCCATTACTTCTAAGTATTGTTATACGTAGGGGTATTTTATGAATGTCCAATAGACAAATCTCTTCAAGACAAAGGACTGATTTTTTTTGAATTGCAGAATAAAGATAAATAACTTGTAAAAATAAATTATAATGGTATTAAATAAAGAATCAATGGTAGTAATATAAAATTCAGGTTCTTAAGTCATATGTTTTATTGGTTACAAAAACTATCATAAACAAGTTGTGGGCAATGTGCTTGATATTTTTGAAAGTTCTAATATGAATATGCTTTTTACAAGTGAATGCTAGTGAACATTTTTAGTTTCTGGCAAGTTCTGCCATTATAAAAATCACCCTGAAGATTAATTTTACCAGAATTTGATCTGGTAAAATTAAAGTCTGAAAAGATACAATTCACAGGAGACATCAAAAATTGAATCTATGGGGGGTGGCTGGTTAGCTCAGTTGGTTAGTGTGTAGTGCTGATAACAACAAGGTTGCTGGTTTGTTCCCTGCATGGGCCACTGTGAGTTACGCCCTTCTTAAAAATAAATTAATTAATTAATGTAATTTAATAAAAATAAGCCAAGAGACTTTCTGAGAACTGTACAGAGAACCTGCATTTAAAAAAAAAAAAAGAGGTGGCTTACTTAATTTATTCAAAAGTATCAGGTTGATTTTTGTAGCTACTCTCTCAGTACATACAATCCAAGGGGCTCTAGAGAGCTAGCCATGGTTAGCCAGTTCAGTCAGTTTATATTTTCTTTTTGTTTGGTTTTTTTTTGTTTGGTTTTTTAAGATTTTATTGGGGAATTGGTGGGAGGGGAACAGCATTGGGGAATCGGGGAAAGGGAACAGACAAGGTGCTGTCCTTTTGTTCTTCAGTCTAGTTGTGGAGGACATTGCTTCACTGGCCCATGTTGGTATTATCATTGCGCTCTTCCTGGGTGAGGCAGATCAGTCGCGGGCGACTCAGGCAGCCCAACTCCAGGTCGAGCTGTTGTTCACCATCTTAGCTGTAGGGGGCAGTGTCACTGGCCCTCATGTGGGATCCGAACCGGGGCCCTGCTGCTCAGAGCTGGTGTCCCAAGACAGCTCTTAACCAGCGTGTCACTCGCTCGGCCAGCCCAGTCAGTTTATATTTTCTTAGTGCTTTCAGATAAAAATCACACAGCTAAACACAGATGTCAGTAAGGATGTCCATCCGGTTACTGTTCAAGTTAAATGAGAGAAAGAATCTAAATACTAACAAAACATGAAGGTTAATTGGAAATTAGGTTCTGTAGCAGAATTTGATTTATAAATTATCCTAAATTTTAGAGCAAATTATATGTTCTTATTACTTTATTAGTGAGATATTTTACATCAAGAATGTTTATCATTTTAAAAAATTGCATATTACTGTGATTCTCCAATTGGGTCTCAGAGTATAATTCTTTATCAGTTGGTAAAAAGCATTTACTCTGTACCTCTTAGGTGTCAGGAATTATACTGAAGAAGTAGAAATGATTAAGACAAGGCATATAACTTCAAGGCGCTTTTTAATTAAAGGAGACAGATATGTAAACAAATATATCATACAGTATAAGTAAAACAAGATAAATATTTATATGAGGCCAAGAAGGGGATAATATTTGGGATAGAAAGCTAGCTAGTGAGATTTGGGGGAGGTTGAGAATTTTCTGGTGGCATTAACTCCCTTCTCTGAACTGAATTTTGAAAAAGGTAAATGAAAATTTACTAGGTGTTAGACACAGAGTTCCAGGTAAAGAGAAAAGCCATATGTATAGGCATAGAAGTCTGAAACCTCTTGGTGTATTTGGAGAACTATAGACAACTGCATATGGTTGATGTAAATAGTGTGATATATTGTAAAAAGTGTCAGAGATGAGGTTGGAGAGGTACACTAGGGCGAGATTGTATGTAGTATACCATAGTGCTTGGATTTTACCAAGCAGGTAATGGGGAGATAGTGAGGAATTTTAAGCAAGGAAAAATATAATCTGACTTGTACTTTAGAACACTCACTACCTGTGACTGCAGTATGAAGGAGGGAGATTAGGCAGTTATTATATGTCCTTTTAATATACATGTATAAAGTCTGTTGCTCACTTATCTGGTGTAAAAAAAAAAAACCAGTTTATGCACTTGTAATATATAGATTGGCATGTGTGTGCGCGCGCATGTTTGCAGCACCACAATATCACCAAGGATGAAAATTAAGAAAGTATAAGACTTTTTCTGAAGCATGCTTATACCTATATCTTAAAGAAAGATACAACATAAAATTCAAATTCTATGACAGTCACCTGAGAACAAGGTAAATTTGTTATTTTGGTGGGGTGTTTTTTAAGAATATTATCTAGGACACAAGGGTGTACTGAAAAAGTACCTTTGATAGGACAAAAGTTTTCATTGAAGAACAAAACAAAAAATTTCTTAATGATGTTCAAAACACAGTTAAATGAGAATTAGGTTCCAAAGTTCTAAACCCAGAAATATGACCATAATGAAATTAACTAGTTTTTTAAAAGTTTCTAATTTCACTAAAGAACTCTCAGACTATTTAATTTTAAGGAATGACATTTTCTAGTAAGCCCTTCCAAGACAAATTGGATTCACAAATCTTACAGAATGATATTATTTCCTATAAGATGTGTTTGACTCTAAGCTAAATCTGTGTTAACGAATATCTTGTCCAAAATGAATATTTGGACTTCAGTATACTTTTTTTTTTTTTTGGCGGGGGGTGGGGGTGGTAATATATATATATATATATAAATTTCACCCTTTTAACCATTTTAAGTATACAGTTCAGCGGAATTAAGTATATTCACAAAGTTTTGCAACCATCACCAAACACTGTATATCTCCAGACTTTTCTTTTCGTTTTTCCAAACTGCAACTCTTGTACCCACACAGTAAACAACTCCCCCATTCTCCTCTTCTTTCAGCCCTTTGCAACTACCATTCTACTTTCTGTCTCGAATTTGACTACTACTCTATCTAGGTTACACATACAAGTGGAATCATGCATCATTTGTCCTTTTGTGATTGGCTTATTTCACGTAACATAATTTTTTCAAGGTACTGCCATGTTATAGCATGTGTCAGAATTTTCATCCTTTTGTGTGTATATCTATATGTATATCTATATCTATATATCTATAGATATCTATATCCCACATTTTGTTTGTCCAGTCATCTGTGGTTGGATACTTGGATTGCTTCCATCTTTTGACTATTGCAAATAATGTTGCTATGAACATGGGGTACAAATACCTCTTTGTGTCCCTGCTTTCAGGTCTTTGGGGCATATGCCCAAAGTGGAATTGTTGGATCATATGGTAATTCTATTTTTAAGATTTTTTTGAAGAACCGCCATAATATTTTCCATATATCTGCACTATTTTACATTCCCACCAACAGTGCTTTTTTCTCCATATCATCCCCAACACTTAATATTTTCTGGGTTTTGTTTGTTTTGATACTAGCTATCCTAATGGGTTTGAAGTGGTAGCTCAGTTTTTATTTGCATTTCCTTAATGGTTAGTGATGTTGAGCATCTTTTCATGTTCTTATTGGCTGCTCAGTTTTCTTCTTTGGGGAAATGTCTATTCAAGTTTTTTGCTCATTTTTAAATTAGGATTTTGTTGTTGAGTTGTACTTGTTCTTTATATATTCTGGATATTATCCCCTTATCAGATATATGATTTGCAAATAATTGTCTCCCATTTTATGGATTGCCTTTTCACTCTGTTGCTAGTGTTTTTTGATACGTAAAAGTTCTTAATTTTGATGTAGTCGACTTTATTTGCTTTTTTGTTGTTGTTGTTGTTGTTGCCTGTACTTTAGGACAGTTATTCTTGATCATTTTTTCTGATCATTAAAAAGCAGTACCATTTGCCTATTAAGGACACTCAGACATAGTATTTGATAATAGCAAATTCTTACCATCATAGGGAATACTTACCTTTTGATTCTTAGAAGCAGAAGGACAAGTTTCTGGCTCAAGATCCAAATTTAAATAGGATATCAGAGGAACACAAAATGCATTATAATAACCCTAGCCACGAACGTTTGTAGTGGTGAAGTAGAACAAATGTTGTAAGAACATTGATAACTAGGGATATGTCAAAAAACTTTCCCTACTGTACTCTGTTTATTCCTCTTCTGCAGAGATACTTCAGAGAGGCCTTTCTTGACCACTCTTGCACCTTCCCAATTTGCATTATCATTAACTCTTAACCCTTGTTCTTCTATATTCATAACACTTTTTTACAATCAGACATTATTATTTATTTGCTTATTTATCATGTCTTTCTTCATAAGGTCAGAGGCTCCTGTCACTATTTTATTCACTGCTGACTTCCCAGTGCTTAGAAGAGTGCTCTGAATATTTGATGAATTAGTGGAGCAATCTCTAGTGAACATTTTGTAGTTTCTCTGTCTATAAAATCTCAAGAAATGATGCTGATTTTTCAGGATGAAATATTTGATCCATATGACTCTTCTACTTTCATTCATATACATTATAACCCCACTATCTTAAAACGTTAATTAATTTCTATTGTAACTTCCTGTTTTAGTATTGTGCCATTTATGACACGTTATAAAATAGGTTAAATATTTGCGTGCCAATTGGGTTAGGCACTGTTTTAAGACATGCATGGGTGTTGACATTTTAGGCTTCATTTAAGTCATTTTGGTACCAACAGTTTTAATAAAAGAAATTATTTTCATTTTAAAATAGGATTCATGAATTAAGTTGTATGTATAAAGATATGTTAGCTTTATTTTTTCCTTAGATTTAACCTAATGTGAACTTTTTTTCAGATATTTTCTAAATTTGGCACAGTCTTGAAAATTATCACCTTTACAAAGAATAATCAGTTTCAAGCCTTGCTTCAGTATGCTGACCCATTGAATGCACAATATGCCAAAATGGTAATTATCTTTTTTTCATTTTTTAATTGTTAATCAGTCACTTCAGAGAAACTGAAAGAAGCCATCATGTCTTCTCCCTTGGTCCAGTTTACCATGTGTTCTTTTAACTGTAGTAAAATATGCATCATATAAAATTTACCATTTTAAAATATACTGTTTCATATGCTCTTTTATAGTAAGCTAAAAATTACTTGTTCTTTCATATGAAATGGTTTCAAATCACCTGTTATTTCTTGGATCTCTGAGACTTATTTCTGTTTGTCATATTTAAAGTCCAGAATTGAGGACAGTACTCCTGATATAATCTGACTAATAAAGTAGAATTATCTTTGCCCTATGCCTTTTATTTCTATTAAATTAGCCAAAGATTGATTTCAGTATTTTTGCAATCATACTCACTGTTGAATCTTATTGAGCTCTGAATTGGTGAAGACATTAAATCTTAGGAAATATGCTACTGTCAGTTTATGGTCTTTTTTTTTTTTTTTTAGTACATGAGTGTTTGACTTCTGACAAGATATAAAACTTCACATTCACCCATCTCCTATTGAGATCTATCCTAACCCAAATTCTTTCTTGTATTGGTATCTGAATTATTTCTGATTTGTTTTCAAAGATAGGGACTCAGGTTTGCAGTACTCTTGTGCACCACGCAGTGTCTGGCTCTTGTTTAGGAATATAGCCTTTATATATGCTGTATCCTCTACCTGCATATGTTATTTTGTACCTTTATGATGGCATACTAATCAGTAACTATTACTAAGTTAGGGTTTTTAATGAATTTGTATATTTTTTGTTTTATTTTTATGTGTCTCGGTATTCATTTTTATAAATTTGAGCATTTGTAGCAGTCATAAGTGGCTACAAGTATCCCTTTGGTAAATTTTTATTATTGTGAAGGGAGGGATTACTGATTACTGGTCTTATATCAGAACTGACTCCAAATTTCCCTCAGCTTATTATTCAGAGTATTAAAAAAATACATTTACGACAGAAAAAGAAGTGGTAGACGATATTCATATATGTTCTGACAAGCACCATTTACAAAGTCTTTATTTCTATTAACCTATATAAACTATTCTAAAAAAATTAAGATGAAATGTAAAACTAGAATATCTTTAAACATTTTCTGTGGACAAAATAATCATAAGCTAGTACAATGTATAGTAATGCATAATAGTTATCCAAGCTTTTACATTTCTTCTCTTTCCTTTGATCTTACCAGAGACAAGATAGGGATTGTTATCCTTATTTTCAGATGAAAAAACTGAGTGTTAGAGATTTTCTTTTTCTCTCTTAGGTGCACATAAGTGACAGGGGTAAGAGTAAATAAAAGTCTTTGGCTTTCAGTCCAGTGCGCTCTGCTTTATACCTGTGTCAAAGTAGAGGCTACTTGATGTATCAGTGTTGTTGTCTTGCAAAACATCAGTCCCTTTCTTACATACTTTAGGCTCTGGATGGCCAGAATATCTATAATGCATGCTGCACTCTGCGTATTGACTTCTCCAAGCTCACCAGCCTTAATGTGAAATATAATAATGACAAAAGCAGAGACTTCACTCGCTTAGACCTTCCTACTGGTGATGGCCATCCATCCCTTGAACCCCCTATGGCTGCTGCTTTTGGTGAGTAGTTCTGTTTTGGGTCACAAAGCAAGTTTTCTGAAGTTAAAAGTTTCATTTTAATCCATGTTATGTCAGTTAGCCTTTTTCTTCTTGGATTGTCTCAGGATTTCTAAAGAAAGGCAAGACTCATAGAATAAAATGTGTCCATTAATTCTTTTTTTTTTTTTAGCTGAGCCATCCTGCCATCTGTTGGCAGCTCAGCGGCAGCTCAGCTCGGGACGGGAATCCAACCGGCGACCCTGTTGCTCAGAGCTCGCACTCTTGAATGAGCTCTTAACCGACTCAGCCACTCGGCCGGCCCTCCCTTAATTCTTAATATTAGTAGATTCTGTTAGTTGGCAAAACAAATGAATATCTGAAATTAAAAGTTACAAATTTATTTTCTAATATTAATATTACTTATTCTTTATAAGTCATGCAACCATTTGCTTCAAATCAGTAGTCTTTTACATATTAATACTGGTTTAAATATGTTGGTTTATAACCAACAGAATATTGGCATTAGTGTTCTTGAGAAAAATACTTTTTCCTTTTTAAGTAGTGATATTTTAAAACAAGGGCCTAAATTAGTGGTGTGTTTTCATTTATTCAAAGAAGAGGATTTATTTTATTATTTTGTTTTTTAAACATCAGAACTTCCATCTTTACCTTAAGTTTCTGTGAAGTTGCAGTTTTGCGTTAATAAAAATAGTCTCCTGAATTGTCTCTGCAAATTCACTTCAAGAGCTTCCTTCTTTTATTTAAAACTGATTCTCAATATATTTATACTTTTTAAATAAACCTTTATATAAGGAAAAAGCAGTGGGTGGCCCAGTGGATATATCATTAAGTTAATGTATGCTACTTTTTGATTTTGCAGTTCTCGAAAGTGTGGTTTTATATTTAGATAAAATATTAAATTGTATTACTCTTTGTGATTGACTTGCCTTTCCCATAAAAAGACCTTAAGTGGTATTTAATCCATCTTCATTTTACAGGTGACAAAAGGATCCTTAACCAAATGGTTGTACCAAAATTTTCTAGAAAATAGTTTGTAACTTTATAGTAAAAGCTTATTACTATTTATAACTGAAAAAGTTGTGAACTATTCAGTTCACTTTCCTAAAATTAAGTTTTTGTTGTGATCTGACCAAATTTTTGTGTTTTATATTTGTTACTAGACCCTACTTACATGTCTGATTTTGCAGAGCCAAAGGTCTTTGTAAATACATTTCAATAACACATGATAGAAATTGAGTCTATTATTCAAGGTTGCCAAAACTTGGCTAACGAATGTAGAAGTACTTAGCCCAGTAATTGGATATATACTGTCAGTGTAATCAATGTGTTCTGCATTGTGGGAGGAGGACGTTTTAAAAATACAATTAAGAATTTTGGTTTCTGAATATAAGATATCAGAATGTTAACATCCATTTTCATGGTATTAATAATCCTTAGTCATTGCAAAGTAATGTCTACATCCTAATGTAAGTGATTTATCATTCTCTGAATTTATGTATTGTATGCAAGTTTACTCTGCCTCTCATTAATATTTGACACAGTTTACCGTTCCCTCCTTTTTTCTCTTGGCTTCTGAAACACCACACTCTCCTAACTTTTTTCCTACCTCATTGGCTGTTCTTTCTCTCTTTTAAGGTTGCCATTTAAAGTTCCTAGAGTTAAGTTGTAAACAAACAAGCACTCTGTCCCTGTTTTAAGTGATACATGTTATGGCTGTAGAAAAGCTTGTGAAACATGTAAATGTATTTTTAGTACCCTCATAATTACCACCCAGGTAAAGAAATAAAATATTTACACATACTAAAGAAGCATTCTTTGTACCGCTCTCATTATTGTGCTCCCACTCTCCCAGTGATAACCAGTCTCAAATTTTATGATAATCATTTGCTTTTCAGGTTTTTCTTTCTGTTTTTTTTTTAATCGTTATGCAGCCCGAAGTATAATTTTAAAAAATTTTCTTCTATATTTAGAACTTTATGTAAATGGAATCATGCTATTTATTTTCTTTCGTAACTTGTGATTCATTCATATTCATTCATATATGTGGCTGTTGCTTGTTCATTCTCAGTACTGTCAAGTGTGTAGATTCCCATTGTATGAATATACCACAGTTTGTGTATCCTACTGTTGATACATTTGGGTTATTTTAGTTTGAGGCCATCATGAAAAATGCTGCTATGAAATTTTCCTGATTACCAATGAGGTTGAACTCATTTCTATTTATTGTGCATTCTCCTTTATGAATTTTCTGTTCAACTCTTTTGCCTATTTTTGTGTTTGGTTTCTTGCTTTTTCTTGTTTATTTCTAGGAATTCTGTATCTATCCCAGACACTATTCCTTTGTTGGTTATATGTGTTTCTCCCAGTTTGGCTTTAAATGTATTTGCCACTTATTTCTTTGTATTTGTGATTTTTGTGTCTTCTTTTAGAAATCCTTTCTTCTGGCATCATAAAGATACATACTTATATTCTAAAGTTTATACTATTTTAGTAGCTTTGTTTTAAAATAATTTAAGTTGCAAGAATAGGACAAAGAATTCCCTTATAGCCTTCATTCACATTTCTCAATTAGTAACATCATGCCACATTTACTTTAGTGTGTGTGTGTGTGTGTGTGTGTGTGTGTGTGTGTGTGTGTGTGTGTAAGTAGTAGGTTTTTTTTCCCCCTGAAGTACTAGAGAGTAAGTTTTAGGCATGATGCCCCTTTACTTCTAAATATTCATTGTGTGTTTTCTAAAAACAAGGACATGCTTACCTAAATGTAGTTCAGTTATCAAATCAGGAAATTAACATTCATACAATGATATTATCTAATCCATAGACCTTTTTAATTTTTGCCAGTTGTGAAAATAATGTTCTTCATAAGAGAATTTTTTTTCTTGTAAAGATCCAAACCAGTATCAGGCTAATTTATTTATGTTTCTTTGGAGCCCTTTAATTTAGAACATTTCTTCATTCTTTGTCTTTAGTGACGTTTGCATTTTTTTAAGAGTTCAGGTTGGGTATTATATTGACTGTTTCTCAATATGAGTGTCTGGTTTTTTGGCTGAAATAATGTGTCTTTCTCAGTTTATTACATCGGGAGACACATGATTCCACTTTATCTGCTAACTTTGATCATATGGGGGAGGAAGAAACTTTACCCTCAGGGTTCTTTTGGCTGCTCTAGTAATTAAGTGTACATGAGACAGATTAACAAGAGAAAATAACCAAATTTAATTATATACGTACACATGGGAACCCCACATGCATGAGAGAGTCAGAGAACCCACATACATGGAGGTTCAAAGACCAGGGGAAAATGAGGTATATATGACATTTGAGCTAAGGATGAGATACAGTACCTTGGAGCTTCAGAGGGGAGAAAGGTCACTGCAGGACTATAAGAACAGCAGATGTTCAGTAATTAGTAGTTTGCCCTGCCCTATAGATTGGTCATAAAAAGTTATTTCTGGTGTTAACTCTTATTATGGGCAAGCCCTCTCATTTAAATTGTTGTAGGCAGTTAAATGGGGGGAGAAGTTTCTCTTGCGCCCATTAGGGTCTCATTGCCTTTAGCTCAAAGTAATCTGCATTCCAGAGAGGCACGTCTTGGGGCGACTCATTCTGAACGCCTACGATTAATCACTTACTAAGGTGATTTCTGCCACGTTTCTTCAAGTAAAGTTACTGTTTTTGTAATTTTTAGGGAGATGCATTGAGACTATATAAATATCCTCATCACTTTTGACCTTTTAGTTTTAGAATCCATTGCTGAAATTACTTGTTACTCTGATGATTGCCATATTGGTAGTTTGCCATCATTTTTTCTACATTTATTAGTTGAGATTTTATTATAAAGGACTTTTTTCTTACCACCATTCCATTCATTCATTCATTTTGAATAAATTCAACGTATAACTGTGTGAATTTAAGGTGTACAACCTACATTTATATATTACATGATTGCCGATATAGCCATATTTAATCACATTACCTAATTATAGTATAATATTGTTTATATTTGCTATAATGTGCATTAGATCTCTATGACTTAGTTACTGCTCGTTGTATTTATTTTTTATGTCACTATGGATTCTTTATTCTATGAGTTAAAATTGTGTGCTATCATTTTTTATCTTATGCTCAAACTGTCCCAGATTTGGGCAGTGGGAGCTCTTTCAACTCTGGCTTCTATGGAATTTGAAATGTCCCCATCACTGTTTGAGCGCTTCCTTCCTTTCTGGCAGAAGGTATTTCAGACCTTTACCTTCCCTGACTTAACACTGCAAAATGAGCCCTGATTCCTTTTAGTGGAAAATGGTATTGGAAATCAGTATCTCGCCATTAGATGTGCTCATTGCTAATAGGACATCATTGCTTGTACACACTAGGATATGTGTATATGTGTGTTTCATAAATATATTTTTCTTTGTATGTTTGTTTAAAAACCACAAATTTTAACTGATACCTTCAATTCCAATCCAGCACACTTTTTCATATTGGCAACTTCTTTCTTCAAGAATGAGAAATCTAGTTTCCTTTAGCCTCAACATATTTACTTATTTGCTCAATCCTATAATTACACAAAAAGTAGTTTCAGATTTGTTAACACATACCATTAAAACTTCAGCTTAATGTTTTCTTAAGTAGTTTTCTATGCATTCTTCCATTGGTCTATTTATTTATCTTTCCTTTTCTCATTACCTCGTTTCAATATCTGATAGGTTACATCTTTTTTACCTTATTCTTCAAGAGTATCTTACAGTTTTGGCCATTTACACATGAACTTGAGGATCAGCTTGACAAGTTCTCAAAAAAAAAAAAAAAGGCTTACGGGGTTTTGATTGGATTACATTGACTTTATAAATCACTTAGAAGATAATTGACATCTTTGCAATAGAGTCTTCCAGTCTTTGAACATTGTACATCTCTCCATTCACTTGGATATTCCTTAATGTCTTTCAGTAAAGTTTGGTGACTTTTCTCCATAAAGGTTTGCATGTTTTGTTAGATTTATT